TTTTTCACACGAAATTGCGCCGGATAGTCGCATAAAATTAATAAAAAAAAAAAAAAAAAAAAAAAAAAAAAAAAAAAAAAAAAAAAGCTTCTTATGCCTCTTCCCCACCGCTTTGGGTGCAGATGGATAGGCTGGTTGAGAGATAGTTAAGGTCTAGAGTCAACAGGGGTTGAGCCAATTTATAAACCATCATTTCCAAGGGTTGATGACTATTTGAAATAGGTCTCGCACGCAATGCTCCAAATTTTACGTGTAGCATTATTGCTGTCCCGAAATGCTTGCTAATAAACAGATCTCTCCGGAGAAGTCAAGAAGGCATACTCAAAAGCCGTATGCAATTCTTTGGCATCCGAGCATGCTCGGATGAATCTCTGCCCTCTCATTGGTGCATAATGAGAACCCTATGGTGGACACCCAAGCAACCGAGACCGAATTTACAATTTTCTACTATTATAGTGGGATTTAATATAAATAGTCGGAAACATCTGGCCCCGTAGCATTGCCCTTCAGCCAATAGGACATGTAATCGACGCCGGAAATGCTTGCCGAAAGAAAATCATTCCCTTCGGCAAGTTGCTGGAACGGCTGAGGCGGAATCTCAGAAGCATAGTCAATCTGCTCTTCCAGGGAATTAAATAGCTCTTCTGGCCTTGCAGAGAGATATCCATCACTAGCGATGGTGCAGTTAGCGAGCGTTTTGCCTTTTCCGAGTATAATCTCTTTCAAGGAAAGGATTCGAACTTACTTGAGCCAGGGAAAACTGCCTGCTAAGTTCTCTTCCAGATCAACCTCGCACGTGGACAGGAATAGAGCATCCTTAGCACATTTCATGATATCCAGGCTTAATGCCTTTCCGGTAATTGGCCCGTGATGCTCCATTTTATCAAGGCACTGAATTCCGCGTTCCACTGACGTGAAGATATCCAAGGCATGTTCGACAGTGACGGATGTATTTAGAACATCATAAAGCAGGGTCACGCATGCTGACACAATATAGTTAGCCACCGATGCATCGTTTCGGATGCATGTGGCCCTCTCCATGATGGCGCTGCTGGCAATATTGATAATCTCCTTGGCAGACAGAATTGAAAGATTGATTGAGGCCTGAAGACTTTCGACTTCTGGTAATCCAGATGCGCAATTCTGTTCAGATCCAACTAGGCTGCAATATACCATGGCGGGCCTACGAGTCATCATTTTGATTAAGTGGAACGCGAGCCCAAGATGTGTACACTGGATCTCCCGCCACACCTCGCTCTTGGGACGGTTTAGACTGGCAAATTGTAGATAAGAGGGTAAGGAGCGCTCAATCTGCTGCAGCGCGGCATCACACTCCAAAATCGTGGTGTTTAGCTTGCGATGGTCGTATATTGTGTGCAAGTTAGATGAAGAGAATATACCGCTGGAGACCTTTTCTATCAGTTGCCCAATTTGTGCCATTGCCCTCAGGTATGCGCATTCCGTCAGGGGACCGTCCGAGCTTTTCATGGGCTCGCCGCACGGTGTTTGGCGATTGCAGTCAGGAAGGTCCTCGGGAAACGAGACGTCTATGTGTGAGTCAAGAAACCCGGAGGGGCGACCGGTGAAAAAGGCACAGATACGCTCATAGGAGTATACCACCCAGAAAGTGATTCGGAGCTTCTGCATGACTGGCCCAGTTCCGTTGGCGACCTGACCGCGGTTGAGACCCAGGGCCAGTACGCTTCGAGCCGCATGGCCCAGGTAGAGGTAGGCGTCGTTGGGCCTCATCCCATGCAGCGCGTACATTGCCTGTTTAATATTCCGGTCAGCATATTTAGCAGCCGAGTATGTTGACTATTCGATCTCAACAGTACCTTGAGAAGGAGGAAGTGGATGCCTTTTAAGCACGGCTCTTGGAATAGCATGCCGTAGTCATTCGACTGGCTCCAGAAGTGATCTGCCCACCTGTCAAGTAGCTCTGCACTGTGGCTTCCTTCTCGCGCCATGGTTCGAGCTCCGAGAGCCAGGACCATATACACCAAATTCCTCGAGATGACCTCCTGCCCAGGAGACGGGGCCTCCCACAGTCGCTCCCACAGTCGAGTGATAACGAGACGATCGAGAACAGGCATATGAGGATGTATAATGGCAAAGTATGCCGCAATACACCGGTCGCCCAAGTCCTTGGGAAGGAAGGACTCGGTTGAGGCACTGGACGAGCGTGGAGCCCCGGATCCGGCCGCGAACATGAATCGCTCCAAGCCCCATTCCCCGAGGCCTGCGGGCACCGCACTCTTTGGCTTATCCAGTAGGCAACCGTGCGGTTGGCGCTTCATACGCTGGTAAAGGCGTTGGATAAAGCAGAAATGTGATGAGGGTCCTGATGAGCGGTCAGCGCTGACCTTCTCCATACTGACTGTCCCTTTTGGATTCCATGATTATTACCGTAGAACTGAAAAGATCCAGTCTGACTGTTTGCAACCCCAATCCCAGCCCGTAGCTCCAGCTGCTGTCGGTATTCCTCTGGATTATATCGTGCAGACGCCTGAAACTTGGAGCTCTTCGCTTTTGGACGCTCGCGTCCAGAGAGGTCGCTGTTAAGGATAAACGTTGGCGTGGAGACCCCGTCTGTCACAGTTGGGGATTTAACGGTTTTGAGCTTCTTGGAAGGGTGGCCCCTACCCAGTCGGGCTTCACCATATCTGCATGCTTGGTTGTGCTGCCAACATGCCAGACATGGGTCCTCGCCATTGCACTTGACCTTTCTGGTGCGGCATTGCTCGCAAGCTCGGACAACCCGCACGCGCTTCAGAGGTTGCTGATCTAGAGTAACTATGTCAGTTTTCTTGTTCGTGTAATGTGGCAGGTATTGTGGTTACATGATGTTGGCACACTCATTGTTATTGGTCCTCAGGTACAAGAGGAAGACTTGAAGGGACTTTTTGTCTGCAGGTCTACATTCACGTTGAGCAGCCAAGGAATCGGTCCCTGTGTTGCGTTCCAGTCACCGAGGTCAATCACGTGAAGCCTTGTTTCTCTCACACGAAGATGGTTTACTGTTGGGCCAATACCGTTATGCCATCCTACTTTGAGTCGGACGGTCTTCTAGGTTCTCCTCTACCGGATCCTGTACCGGCGTTTGTTTTCACTTTCACTTTTTATTTTTAGTTGAAAGATGCACTTCTCCAGCAGTTCGAGTTGCTTATAAATCAAACTTTTCGGGGTCTCCATCTACCATGAAAGTCTGTCGTGAACGTTGACGCACTCAGAGACGTCATGCACCAGATTAGAGTATCAACGAAAGATAAAAGTCTCAAACTACTTCTTCTCAAATGATAACTTTCTCTGAAGACTCAAGTAGTATAATGTCTATCGAAGTGGCGTTCATAGCCCAGATTAGTACCCATAATGAGTGGATGCCGAGCGGTGGCGATCCCTAGCTTAAACCCGAAAAATTGGAGACCCCAACAATCTCCAAATCCAGGAGAACCTTCGCCATCTAGCAATTCATGATACTCATTTTCCCAGGGCACTCCCTTCCAATCACTTAATGCCACTGATCGTCGCACATGAGCCAAGAAATGTCTTACCGCTCATTGAGTCCGGCCTCAGCTGCCCGTCGCGAGGAGCTGACCTGCAAAATATGTTCTCGCACCTTCAACCGCCATGAGCATTTACAGCGACACACTCGCACTCGTAGGACTTCAATGTAACTGAGACGATGATGTATCTACTACTGACAAAGCGACTTTCCAGATACAAAAGACAAACCGTACATTTGCTCATGTGGTCGTTCATTTTCTAGGAAAGACTTGTTAACCCGGCATGAACGCCTGAGCCATGGTCTTGATGGGAGACAAGGAGCTGTTCGAGGTGCATATCCATGTCCTTCTGGCCTATGAGCAGACATTCTAAGCCACATTTTAACAGAAAATGTATCGCCTCGACGGAGACAAGCAACGGGCATCACAGATGTCTCGTTAACCCTGTATCACCAAAGGTATCAGGGAGACTTTATGCCTCGTAGCATCTCGAATGAGTTTCCCGAATCCAGCATGTTTCCGCAAATGGATGCCAGTCCGCTAGATGATATACCGGATCGCTTCATATATCCGTCCGCGAACAATTTGCCTGCGACCTTCGGTGACCCGATCTCTGAGTTCACCAGGTTCTTGACTCATGGCGATGGGAGCCATGACCCGGAAGAAATGCTGGTCGACCCAAGTCTTGAATTGCATGAACCCACCATGCCCGATAATGGACTGCTTCAAAACCCTACGCCAGACAGTATCGACATATCCTCGCGCGTACCAGACGACCCATCTGGTGATGGTAAGATCATTTCCGCGTTTTCCAACCACTTTTACTTCTTTAACTAACCTCCGCGACAGATGATTTCCACGAGCTGAAACCCCTCAGCTGCCCATGGCTTTTAACCAACAACCAATATCTACAGATTAGCAGTTCCCTTTCACCGTTTCAGGAAGTGATCCCGAATCAATTCAGGATGCCTTCCAAGATGGCCCTAGCACGCTATCTACTGGGTTACGTTGAAGGGTTCAGTGACCACCACCCCTTCATCCACGTTCCCACACTAAATTTAACATCCTTTGTTGATACTCCAGAGCTCATTTTGGCACTTCTAGCTATCGGCGCTCAATATCGCTACGAATCAAGAACTGCTAGGTCATTATACCGAGCAAGCCGATCCATCGTTATAGAACGTCTTCGCAATGTGGAAGGTCTTGCCGACACTGCTTCCGTCCATCTCCACCAGGGCAACTTACATCCTTCACCAGCCCATGCAGAACATCACTTAGACCAAACTCAAGCTCTACTCTTATTAGCTATCTACTGCTTCTGGCACAGTAGCTCTGACATGCTGCAAGAATGGCACCAATATCTCAGCCTTATTGCGGCCTCCCTCCGCCGACTCGGTCTATCTGAAGGGAAACACAACGACAAGATCAGTTGGGCTCAATGGATTAAACAGGAAACGAAGCGCCGTACACAATTCTTTGGTTGGTATTTGCTGAACTTTCAAGCCATCATCTATGATAATCCACCCTTACTTCTTACGCGCGAATTGAACCTTCAGCTGCCGTCATCATGCCAGGAATGGGTCGCTCGAACGGAAACCGAATGGGAAAGAACCAGGAGTCATACGCTGTCCCGTGTTATGCTGAAGGAGGCACACGCGGTCCATCTTGCAGAGTCCAGTGATGTATCTGCAAATGTGGAGTCATCCCCGATGGGGAATTATATACTTATACACGCAGTGATTCAACGTATCTACATGATGCATCAAGTCTCTCTGGACCCTCAGATACAAAGGCTCTCCGCGCGAGACGTTCAAGAACTAGAGACCGCGCTGAACCGCTGGCGACACACGTGGTGCCACTCCCCAGAATCCAAGCTGGACCTGCATGATCCATACGGTTCGCTATCCTTCTCAGCGACCGCATTACTGGGCGTAGCGCATGTCCGGCTGCATTACAATCTTGGACAGTGGCGGGACTTGCAGAGTGGGGATCCGGCGACCGTTGCCGCAACTTTACATGAAGCGCCATTGCCCCAACGCGGCTCTCATCTCGTACACGCTCTGTTGCATTCTGTCCATGCACTTAATATTCCTGTGCAGGTCGGAATATCATACCTCTCACGATGCAAATCATTTGGATGGAGTGTAGATCATGCGGTGTGCGACCTGGAATGCGCCATCTTTTTGAGTAAGTGGCTGCAGATGGTGGCCCATTCCCACGTCGAGCAGCCGCTCTCTGGTATGTCGGACACATGTTTCCGCTCTCCACTGCTCGTTATTTGGCTAACTTAACTTATAGCACTCGAGACGCGCCTCATTCGATGGATAATACGCGTGGTGCGAGAAGCGCTCGTATCGCAGGACGAGACGATCCGTCTCAGTCATGACATAGATGGGTATCGGCCAGAGACTTTGAAGCGTACAGCGACTTTCCTCAGTTTTGCAGTGGTAAAAGTCTGGGCGCAGATGTTCAAAGTTTGTAATAGCCCATGGCCGATGGTACTGCTCATTGGGAAAAGTCTGGATCGGTATGCATCATTGATGGAGGAGTCCCTTTCGGTGGATGTGGAGAGCTCAGAGCTCGGGTCTAATCCATGATCTCGCGCGCCAATTTGCTTCGTCTTCTAATGGAAGGTCCACACCAGACAAGAATCCAGGGAACAAGAGTAAGGGCCAGTCCAAGGCCTCCGAGTAAACTGGCCGCGGCACCAAACCCCAGATTGTCGAATAGTTGCCGGGAGACCAGAGGGAAAATCCCGCCCAACATGTTTCGACAGAAGCTCTGGGCAGCCAACGCGGAACTGGCGTAGCGATGATATGTATCTGCCAGATAGTTGAACACCGACAAATATACCGAAAATATTCCGACAGTAGAGATCCCGACCGCCACTGTAGGGACCATCCAGTGCACCTGGTACTGCGCCGACCAGCCGAATAGAAACAAGCCCAATGGTAGGAGTAAGCTCTCAATGCAAGTAAAATATAGCCTATGTTCTGGTACGGAATTCCAGGGCTTGCGGCTGTCCACCTTTCCTTTATTCCAATAACGCGCGATTAATGACTCCTGCACGATGCATAGGCTCAGAGCCAGCGTCGTGCCGATGCATGAAGACGCGAAGACGGCATTGGCGGTGGAGAGTGAGAACATGTAGGCGGACTGGAAGACCAATGGGATAGCAGAAAGGTTAATGTATAGGACAGACCAACTGAAAGCCGCCCAGAGGGAGAAGAAGAAGACAACCGGCTCAGTGAACAGCATCGTGAAGGGGCGCATCAGTGATGTTTGGAGGAGTTGTAGGATGCCGGCTCGTTCCTCATCCGCAGGCACCTTCCAACGCACGTTGTTCATGTTTGTGTCCTCTGGACCTTTTTCGGTGTCGTCCACCTCGGCTTGTCTCGTTGCGGCGGTGGCCTTTTCCATGGCTTCATGCCACTGATTCAACCGGTGAGCTTTTTCACGCAGAATGACGGGACCTCGTGTTTCGCGGAAGAAAGCTAGGACAGCAGCCGTAATCAGACCAGCGATTATGATCTGAACATAGAATATCCAGCGCCAGCTGGTATATTGGCTGATAAACCCGCAGACCAAGGGGCCGAGGCCGGTTCCGAAGAGCGCGGCCCAAGAGAAAAGAGCCATTGGAGCGTTACGATTCTGAGCATGGTATATGTCCGCGATGATGCCACCAACCATGGTCGAGAAGGTCGAGCCTCCAATTCCGCAGAAGAATCGAGCTACCAGCATTCTGTACACCACCCCTCCTTGGTGGGGGCTGAGCATTAGCATAAGGTATGTCGTGGGCGGCGAGACGCCTAGAAATTTCAAGAATCCTATCAACCATGCACGTACCCAGGATATATTCGAGTAACTGCACAACATACTTGGCATATTGTAAATAGGATGGCAGTGGCAATAAAGACAAGCTTTCGGCCATAGATCTCTGAGAAAGGGGCGAGAAACATGGGGCCGATCGCAAATCCACTGGTAAAGGTCGTGATCCCAACTAAGACCGGAACTCGACTGACATGCCATTCAGTCTCCATTTGAGCTGCCCCAGGACTATAGCAGCTTGCTGCAAAGGAGGCGAATAGTGTTGCTAGGCATGAGACTACTGTCATCAAGCCTTTGTACTGTGGTGTCCATTCGTAGGGAGATCCGAGGGATTTCAAATTCGGGGGAGGGATAGGATGTGGCCCAGAGAGGAACGAGAGATCTGTCTTGAAATCTAAATTGTGATAGCGTGGCTGTCGTTCGTCTGCTATCAACATTGGCGGAGACTGTTCCTCCTCCTTACTGCTGGTGATGGACATCTTGCCCTGTTCGTTTGATGAACCAAGGAATGTGGCGCAAAGGTCTGGAAAGGTAGGATGAATTGATACAGCACATGTCTTCACTATCCTAGACTTGCAAGGGGTGTGTAGACCAATATATTCGTATTGCGGATGAACACGGCTGCAGATCTGCGTATGAATGCGGTGTTGTTGCGGCATTGATGCGGCCCGCAGAGCCCGCAGAGCCCGCAGCGAAGTGCGCGGAGCACGACGCATACCAACTGCAAAACCCATACTGGATTGGGGTCTCCAAGCACTGGTGCATGTGATCTGCGGGCGTCGATTGAGACGCTGCAAACCCCGAATCCCGGGGGAGGCAGTGATCTGCCGGCACAGAAGATGTTTCACCTCCCTCGGCCACCATCACTCAGCATGGAGCCGCGGTCGAAGAAAGCCTGCATATCTTGCAGAGATCGCAAGCGCAAATGTGACGGCGAACTTCCTTGCTCGTACTGTATCCGCACGCATCACGAATGCTTCTATCAAGAGACACGTCGCACGAGGTCAACCCCCCGAAAGCGCTCGTCAGAAGACCCCAGCAGCCGTGAGGGTCAGAGCTCCTCAACGGATGAACGAACCCAGCTTCAACTTTTGGAGGCCAACTCACCCGCAGTATTCGTGCAAAGGTTGACGATTAGAGGCGAAACTCCCAGTATAGCTTTGCCGGTGCACTGCTACGCATATAATTTAGGATTCGACGCCGATGTCAATTTTCTTCCTAATGTAATAGGCCTGACAGAGCTTGTGACAAAAAGGGAGATGGCTCGCCTTGCCAACGTATACTTTGCTCAAATCAGCCCAGTATACGACTTCATCGACCGTATTGCAGTGGAGCAGGCTATCATAACTCGCTGGAATGATCCAGTGCCATGGAATGGGGTTGACTCCCTTCTACTTGGTATTGCCGCGCTGGGATGTGTTTTCGACAAGGGCAGCCACATAAATGGCCCAAATCTCGAGCGGCAACTTGTTTATAGTGCACGCATGACTCTTGAATATTCTAGCCAACTCGCGCAGCCTCATGTGAACCATGTAGTTGGATGGCTACTCCGCGTCATCTATCTGCGAATTAACAGTACACCACATGCCACATGGATGGCTAGCTGTACACTGATGCACATGATTGAAACCAGCAAGCTTCACTTTGAAAACGACACCGAGTCCATACTTTTCCAGCACTCTTCTGATTATTGTCCTCCTGAAGAGCGCCGCAAAATCTACCATGTCGCTCGGCTGTTCAACATTTGGGTTTCGTTAGACTTTGGTAAATCGCAAATAGACTTACGAGGAGCATCGACCCAGCCGCCACAAACAAGCTGGACTACTGAGCAACGAGAGTTGTATCGTGTCTCCGTACTGCTCACCTCCACTGAACATTATTATGATCTGGGTGAGCTGGAGAGCGCACTACGTAAAGTATGTGAGCTACAACCATCTCCTCCCATGCTTAAACTACTCCAGTGTAATATTGCACTTTGCATCTTCCGCCGCGCATATTCATTAGAGAAATCACTTCCCGCGTGGGCGCAGGATTTGATCTTGGATTTGATGCGTACCAGCACCGGTATTGTTGAAGGGCTAGTCGCACAGTCCTCGCCATGGTGGCATGTTTTGAACATTCCCTTTCAGATTGTGTGCGTGTTACTTTTGATGGATCGGCCACGAGCTCTGGAGACTCTGGATGATGCTCTGCGAACTCTTCATACAGTGGCAACGCACTACGATACACAGATGGCGAAGGAGGCATATGATGTGGCGTTATCTCTCGTCCAGCAGCATCGAGATCAACGGTCAGAGGCATTATCCATTCTAAACAGAGTATTAGAGGCGCATAGCAATCAGTGGATTTCTTAGACGCTGCTGCTTCTCTTCGGGTGGGGGAAGTTGACTGCTGCTCGGGGTCTCCAATTACTAATATTACTATATTCACCATGAATATATATGGCATTATGGTGCCATTCGGAGTCTCCAACTTTTCATGAAACCTCTCTTCATTTTGCTGTCTGTATTCGTAGATTCTTATTATTCCCCCGTATCACTGGTAATTAGCAGGCCGCGGTTGCATTTCTTTGGCATTCTCTTCACAATGACAGTCACTGACCTTTTCCGACCACTGACCTTTCGCCGCGGTCCAGCCCTTAAGAATCGAATCCTCCTTGCGCCTCTCACCAACTGGCAGAGCAACGAAAGTGATGGCAGTGTTACCGAAGCGGATACGCATTGGCTGACGCGCTGCGCTGCCGGCGGCTTCTCCATGGTCATGACATGCGCCGCCAATGTGCATGTAGACGGAAAAGCTTTCCCGGGACAGATGGGCATCTACAGCGATGAACATTTGCCAGGCCTACGCCGCATAGCTGACATCATCCGCAAGCATGGGGGAGTCTCCTCCGTGCAGATCCATCACGGGGGTGCGCGCATTTCGCCAACGCTTATCGGTGGTCAAAAACCAGTGGGACCTTCCGCTATCATTCCGGGCGCCGTACGAGGGCTCTCCCTTGCTGAAGTAGAGCAGGCGCGAGACGATTTCATCGCGGCTGCAGTACGTGCCCAACGGGCAGGATTTGACGGAGTGGAGGTGCATGGGGCATTTGGATGGCTTATCATGCAGTTCCTGTCGCCCATCTTCAACCGGCGCACTGACCACTACGGTGGTAGTCTCGAAAACAGGGCGCGATTCCTCTTTGAGATCATCGATGGCATTCGACGCACGTGTCGGCCGGACTTTCAGATTGGCCTCCGCATTTCCATGGAGCGATACGGTGTTCCACTGATAGAGATGCGCGAGGTAGCGGCGCGGGCATTGCGCGAGGCGCGCATCGACTATCTCGATCTTGCTGTTTGGGACTACCGCAAAATGGCCACAGAGGAGCCCTTCTTGAGTCAGACTATGTTGAGTGTCTTTACAGACCTTCCGCGCCCAGAGGGTGTGCGTGTGGGTGCGTCTGGCCATGTTATGACGGCTCGGCAGGCTGCTGAGGTTCTTGATGCTGGGTGTGATTTTGTCATGATCGGCAAGGCTGCCATTCTTGACCCGGAGTTGCCGAAGAATGTGGAGAAGAATGAGGAATATGTGGCCCCTAAGCTTCCAGTGACGGCGGAGTACCTCAGGAGCTCTGGATTGAGTGAGCGGTTTGTTGACTACATGAGGACGTGGGAGGGATTTGTTTTGGATGCTTAGAGACATTGTTCTGACTATATCCCCTTCTGTCACTTGTACCTGTCCTGATAGATTCCCATCATGTCAATATATCTAGATTTATAGGTCTGGTCTTTCGAAATGTTCAAAGTATGAAAGTAGGCGGCCGCATAGCAGTCAAATAACATTCTGAAGTGCCTATAATAGGCTTTTTATGTCTTTAATCTTTCTTTATTTTTTTGTCTATTTCGCCCCTTGTTGAAGATAAATGAGTGTCATGTGTGCCCTTAGCTGCCGTCAAACTTGGGATTCGCCTATTAAAGGAGTGCATGCTCCTTTTGGTCACTGAGTAGCTAAGGGTAGATCTTCCACCATCTTTGCTGCCAATACTACACCACTGTATAAACCTTCTCGTTGTCCCCATGCTCTGACAACTAATTCTCTCTTTTTTATCCAGCACTATACTCCTGGGATGATATTCATAGCCAATTCTATTCTTCAACACGAACCTGATTTTTCTCCCGCTTATCAACGCCCAACCACAATAGATCAGGACGACTATAGTGACCGTGGACATCTAGCATGGCCTTGACCTTTTTGATCTCATCGAAGTCCAAGTCAGCAATGACAAGACCTTCTTCCTCCTCTCCCAGATCCTGAGTCAACCTATGACCGTCAGGACCAATAATGCATGCACAACCACCACCTCCAATGTGGTATAACTTGCCATCACCTAACTTCATCCTCTCAATGCCTTTCTCAGTGTAGAATGAGGAGGCCAGAACGACAAAGCAGTTTCCCTCGATGGCATGTGTAGTTGAGAGATTGTGAGCACCTGCTCCGGTTTTCTAGTTAGTCTACTGTCTTCTCAGAAAGACCAAGTGCATGTAGAAAACAAAAATACGAATGAATAGCACAACGAACAACGCAGTAATAGGGAAGAGAAGGCTAACCTTCACGGCACTGCGACCACAACGCGCTACCAGCGGGGAACGAGCTATAGTAATTCATAGGCGGCCACGCCGCCACATGGATCTGCTCGCCCTGAGAATAGGTATGGTAGCGGAGCAAAGGCTGCGAGTGTTCCCAGCAGGACAAGGCGCCGACGCGTCCGACATCAGGCTCATCGACGACATTCATCAGCGAGTCACCGCTGCCTTCGCCGTAGATCGTGCGCTCGACGTGGGTTGGCTTAATCTTGCGGCGATGCATCCTGATAGTTCCGTCCTTGCCGATGATTGACTGTGACAGGTAAAGCGAGTCATTGTCATTCTCGGAATATCCCAAACAGACGGTAATATTGTTGGCGGCGGCGCACTCCTGGATGGTACGCATCTCGGGTGAATCCCGCTTGAGGCTGTGCTTCATATACTCAGAGACCATTTCGAAGTCGATGGGTCGCTGCCTGTGTCGATCAAGGAACCAGAAGAGATCGTTAGCCATAAGATCGTTAATTATTGCACGATAGGGGGGCAATAGAGACGTAAAAAACCCTGGTATATAAGTATATCCTGAGAAGCCCATGTTTATCTTACCAGATCCAGCCTGGATATTGGGGGATCCAGACTTCCGGGAAGGCGACCAAGTCACATCCTTTCCCAGCAGCCTCGACTATCAGGTCGCAGGTCTTCTGCACGGCAGCGGGCAGGTCGAAGTTGCAGCCTTCGGCCTGTACTGCAGCAACGCGCACAGTTCCAGGTTTGGGTTTGGCAGCCATGGGGGAGGGTTTTTGCTCGGTGGAAGCCATCATCAATCTTCTGCCTCGGCAACGTGTGCTTTCTTGTCTACGCCGTCAGAGAAGGACACAGAGAATTGAAGTACTTATAATATTGGCTAGGGTACCAGTCCCTATCGCTCTATAATAGGTAGAGAACGGCTTGGTTCCGGTCAGTTGGGGTCTCCAACTTCCTTAGTAGTTGACCCTAAGATTTCTTACCTCAACCTTTAGAATATTCGATCGTCATCTTAATGGTGCTAAGCCTGGTTGTTTTCCGTTTCTAAAACCTTGGTTTCTCTTTATCTAATTGCAATCAGCGCAAGCTCATAGTCATCTGCTCGTAAATCACTTGGTTAGAGGCCCCAATGTAGGTTTCGGTTCGGTGTCTAGCCGGGGCTGTGGGGAGATAGACTAAGCTTAACCAAGTTTCACAACATAAGACAATCTTTACTCTCACAAGCTCATAATCGGGTGAAAAGCCCTATCAGACTGTCGGTTGCAATGCAGAAGGGGAAGATGGATATATTAGCCCTGGTCATCTGCCATCGCTGTTGCTTCTTATTCTGGCCTGAGTCGGGGGCAGCCACACAGATTGGGCATACTCAATTGTCATTGAGTGTAGTACAGTAAGGCGTGCCATTTGCATATGACTCCACTAAGTCGGGAGATGTCCGAAAATACACTGTCTTGTTGGGATTGCGGCAACTTGCGGCCCGCGTGCGGAGGGAATATGATTTGTGACGGCATGATGTGGTAAAGCTTGCTGACGAATGCAGAGCCGATAGATAAGTCCGATAGTTCCTCTCTAGCAAGAAGGATGCACGCCCCATTACATGTTACTAGGTGGAAGACTGTGATGTGCGTTTTCTTCCGCTTCGGCATCCGATGATTACACCGAGATCATTCATATATCAGACTCTGGTACCTACATACGTCGAGTTCCAGCGCACTTGGATCATTTCCCAAGCTTCTTTTCATGGATGTACGAATACTTGGTAGTGTTCCAGCCACCCATACAGAAACATGTGAATGCTAGCATTTGTGGACTAGCCGCGACATTCGATGTTCAAGAGATTGCTCTTGATAACGTCGATAGTAAATCTACAGCATCAAACAAGCATAATCTTCCTTGGTCAGTTATCAATCTCGGTCTGTGAGTTGCGGCCATGGAGATGTTCATAAATCTGCAATCTAGGGGTTGGGCTAGTGTTTGGAATCTACGGTTCATTAAGACTTGAATGAATAGAAGTGCTGTGGTTGATTGGTACCCTTTGCGGGCTTAATGGCTATTTATCTTCTCTTGCTTCGGTATTCGTGCCATGCCATTAAAATAGCTTCTCGGTCTTACCAATTGTCGCAATGTGCCCTGTCTCACAGCCCATTCCAGAACGTCGTATTCTTGACTTGGAAATCCTAAGGCACTTACCACAAGGAAAGCACTGCAGGTTTTCCATTGACATCAGAGACTCGAATGGCGGGAATCCCCAGCTGGGGGATACTGGCTGTGCGACAAAAGTCAGTGCCGGAGACCAACGAGATCTTCTCGTCAATGGTCACTTGTTCCAGGATATTATCAATATCCGTCATGGTCATTCTCGAACGCTGACTTAAGCAGCCTGCTGTAGCGGTGGGGTTATGATAGCTACGTCCATACCGGTAGGCTCGACCGCTTCTTATGCCTCATTACAAAAGGAATGAGGCCATCGGCTTCGGGAGAACACTCCTCCTTCTCCAATTCACGAAACAGTGGTAAACCGCTTCCCCGGCTGCTCCCTGTTTGGGGTCTACAAGAACATTTTAATAAGCAATCCCCATTGTTCAGGGCGCACGATCATTGGGTAACTATGCTTACTATACCGAGATAGAAAAGAATGTATGTGGATGTGCCATTGCAGATGTGTATCGCTACCTTTTTGAGTGGCAAAACAGCAAATAGAGTCAATTTACTAACTTTCGTCCAACATGGCCGCCCGCTCCTGGTGGCCTACCCAATGGAGATCTGGCCCTAACTAAACATCTACGCAGCCGTGGACTCGATGTGGCTTGGGTGTCTATCATTGTTTCGACTATCCACAGCATTTTCATCAGACAGACTACCCTGGCTGAAGTCGACTAGAACTACCATCTGATTCTAATGGTCCTTATTCTGTTTTATTGATCTGGTCTTGTGGTCTGCATATCCCGAAGCGAGTGTTTTCTCGCTCGAAGAAATGGCGGTTCTATTCGCCGTTAACGAGGCTACCTCTGTAATCAAAGGGGAGAAACCAGTAACAGAGCGCACGGACACTGATGCGACAGCCTAGGAAAACTGATTACTGTCTTTCATTCTGTCTAACTCACCTCTGGTAGAGTCGCGTCTGCCGACGGGACCTCTTCCGAGAAGCTGGGTTGATCAGCACTAATCTTTCCCTTTTGTCTCCCCGCCATCATTCGCTTATTTGATCGGCATGGCCATCCCCACTTTACCCAAACGTCAATGCTTTTCTCCTCTATAGTCTACTCTGCTTAACATCGCTATGGCCACCTGACGACTTAAGCATTGTTATTTTGAAGGGTATGTTGGCTCACGGAAATGCGGGAATGAAAGGGTTCAATCGGATCAATTTGTGTAGACTACAGTCGCAGAGGAATAGCCAGAACAATGTTCCGTAATTGTATGCGGATAACTTCATTGGAACATGTCATCCCGCTGCGGGGTTTGTTACGAGCACGCAAGAATCGCTGCCTCTTGCGGGAGAGGCTTGGCCTTTTCTAGAGGCGTATAAAATACCTTCTCAACTCACATTTCACGCTACTATTTCCATCTCACTGTCCATAAGGATACAGATTTACTCCAACGGATTCCGGGAATTCCAAATACAGTGCATAGAATCTACCTAAGGTTAATGTACCCATCCTTGACGATGATGAGAAATAACGGGACTGATAAATGTGCTCTCAGCACGCATCATGCGCTCACCCTGGCCTATCTCAGCCTCTATGATGCTGCTACCACTGGTAGCAGCTGACTGGCAATTCAAATCGCGCCCTGATCTGGCGCCGCCCAAACTGAATATTACCATCCCTGCAGCCGCGGATGTGGAGAAGGGGTACCTCTTCGTTGCTCCTTTTGCTGGTATCGCAGATGGCCCCGGAGAGATGCATGGCCCTCGCCAGGCATCTCCTTACATCTTCCGGGATGATGGTGAGCTAGTCTGGTCCGGATACTCCTACTACTCCATCTGGGCAACCAACTTTCAGAAAGCCCGATGGAACGGCAAGGATGTCCTATTCTGCTTCGAGGGTGACCATAATTCGGCTTATGGGCATGGTCACGGCCATGTCACCTTCCTAGACCAGCACTATGAGACCATCCGCGAGTTGCGTGCTGGTAACCATAAGATTATGGACAAGCATGAGTTCCACATTATCAATGAGGAGACGGCTTTGATACAAATCTACCAACCTGTGCCAATGGACCTCACTCCCTGGGGAGCCAGTGCGGAGCAACAGTGGATCGTGGATGCCATCATCCAAGGTACGGAATCCATTCGCATGACAGGGTAAAGCTAATTAGGGTAACAGAGCTTGATATTGCAACCGGTGATGTTCTGTTTGAGTGGTCCAGCTTGGATCATGTCCTTCCCGACGGTTAGTTCTTCCTCCTTCACAGCACACGCCTGCAACCAACTAAACTCTCTCAGAGGCAATCCTCCCCATCAACCCTGGCCAAGCTGGCGCAGGCTACAACTCTTCAGATGCATGGGACTACTTCCACATCAACTCCGTGGACAAAGACTTTGACGGGAACTATCTCATCTCCGCCCGTGATGCCTGCGCCGTACACAAAATCAACGGCAGCAGCGGCGAGATCATCTGGCGTCTGGGAGGTGTCAAGTCCGACTTCGAACTAGGCCCAAACGCCAACTTCTGCTTCCAACACCACGCTCGATTCGTTTCCAAAGATGGTGACTCCGAGATCATATCCCTATATGACAACTCCGCTCACGGCACCGAGAACGGTCGCGGCCACGAAGTTCACACCCACCCATTCTCACAAGGCAAGATCATCAAAGTCAACACTGCCACCTGGAAAGCATCCATCGTCCAAGCCTTCCAACCACCCGATGGCCTATTGTCCAAGTCTCAAGGCGGCACCCAATTGCTACCCAACGGCAACGTCCTTGTGAACTGGGGCTCTGAGGGTGCATTGACCGAGTTCCGCCCAGACGGCACTCCAATTCTACACGCCTACATGGACTCGGGCTTTCTGGGCGAAGGCGTAGAGAATTACCGTGCCTTCCGGTATAACTGGACTGGACTTCCTAATGAGACACCGGCTATCGTATCTCTTCAGAACGACCAGGGTACGACCCTTTATGTCTCGTGGAACGGTGACACTGAGACAAAGGTCTGGCGCTTTTATAGCGTGGTTGATGAGTACGGCTCGCGCGAGTTCTTGGGCGATGCGAAGAGGACTGGTTTTGAGACTGCGCTGTCACTTCCAGGTCGTGTCATTTGTGCTGTGTCTGCGGAGGCTATTGATGCCAGGGGAAGGGTTTTGACAGCTACTGCTGCTGTGAGAACTAAGGCCGAGGTGCGACCTCCGAAGGCAGCCTCGGTCGGGAAGCATGAGCATGGAGCAGTGCAGTCTCAAGTTCAAATGGGAGGTTCTAGCCACTGGGAGGAGTACATGATTCTGAAGTTGGATCGTTTCTCTCGGGGATGAGGATATGCAGTTCACTCCTTGAGGTTCTCCCTCGAAAGTCAAACGTCGTGCGGGTGGTGCCTGTTTGTTCAACCAATGGCACCTAGTGGTAACTGTTGTTAGTGATAGTGTTGAAGATGGCTGGATACTTTCTGATAGTAGTCTAAGAGTTAGCAATATGAATTGTTGGTGACGATGAGTCTCAGTGTAGTCCATGAACACTCCATATTTCCACCCTTATCATATGCTACTGCCACTCTAATCTCAGCGCGACAATATCTATCCATCGCAAGCCGCTTCTTATTCCTACACCTCCTGACTAAAATCATACTCATTCCCAAACCCCCGATTCAAATATCGCCCCAACGCCTGCTCCTCCGACACCCAATCAACCGGAACCTCCAACCTCGTCTCCCCCTCCACCACAGGCCTCAACTCCTCCGCAAGCTCTAATCTCATCCTATTCCGATACCACGGCGCGAAATGAACTACACAGCAATCTTACTCAGCACTAGCCCACCACAACTAAGCCAAACCTAGAGGAAAAATATTACTTACTCATAGCCAACATAACCCTCACATCTCCCGTCCGATTCCCCATGCCTGCATGCCAAAGCCTCAAATCCCGAATCACCAACGCCCCCTTCGGCACAATAGGCTGACAGGGCATTCTCACAGCGCGACGTTTCTCCACCTCCTGTACCTTGATCCGCCCACTAGCTCGATCAGCGCCATGCGCTCCCTCCTGCACATGCAGACCCGAGTCCGCGTGCGTATCGAGCCAGATCTCCGTGGATCCGTTTTCAGGCGTCATCGTAACCAAGGGGACGTTAATAACGTAGGCGAATGGATGCGACGGATGATCGAAATCCGCGTCGGTGTGTACGGGCTGCGATGTGGGGGGACAGGTACTGGTTGGTGGCATGGCGGTGTTACCTGAGCAGAAGGTCCACTTAGGACGGGGGCCTAGGGCTGTTGAGGTAATTTGAATGGCGAGGGGGTCTGTGGTGATTACTTTAGCAGGAGTGGATTGGAATGCTTGGGGAGAATAATCACGTACTCAGGAAGATATCTTTGTGGAAATATTCTCTTATCGGGGGTGGATCTTGTTGGATGTTCCCTGGGTTATAATTGTAAGGACTATTCTCGCTTCTGGCTTGCAGGATGTAGGCGTCTTGTATCATTTTTGTGTTTAGGTGGTCGAGGGGGTCGTGTGGAATGGCGTTTTCGATGATGACTAGCCCGTCGTGGAAGAGGGAGTGGATGGCGGTTTCGAGATTTTGTGGGGTGAGTTTGTTATTTTCTAGTTCGGTCTTCGATGGTCTTATGGTATGTGGATAGGAAGATTGCTTGTGACGGTGGTAGTATTGCTTCAATGGGGTTTGTACTGTCGGGATGAGTCGTGGTGTCCGACGGGCGAGACCAGGCGGGAATCTGTACATGATGCCGAGTTTATATATACTTATCGCGGGAGGAGGCTTGAGCTATGCGTCTATGTAAAGTGACTCCACCCAACAGATATCACTTTCTAGTAGAGCTCGGGTATGAGACAAGTGATCTGTTGGTTATGCCAACGACGGTAATGTTGTGGGAATATTCCTGAGCCAAAGAAGATGGGCAATTCAGGTGGCTCTCACTGTACAAGACAAAGGTCAAGAGACGAGGCCGCAGTCAGGAGGGCTTATAGCAATGGATGTATATGTAGAGGCAAGATCCTTGTCTAATATTGAGACTCGGTAGTATAGATTGACACCTTTTTGTGAAAGAAACATGATCAGATTTGAGATCAGCGTGGATGTGCTCCCAGTCTGGGGAGGTTGATAGGTTTCATTTGCATTTCCCCGCTTCTTTCTCCGCATCCCGAGGAACAGCAAGTGCTGGAATAGCGGCATTGCACGGACGGAAGCAAGTAACTTCTAAAACGATGACGCGTTAATCCCCAAAAAAAGCGTTGTATTCGTTTTTTCCTATCAGATAACCCTGACTGGGTTCTAATGTAGAAGTTTTTGGAACGAGAGCAAACGTTGTATCTTTATGTAACAAGACTCAGAGTACTCTACCAATAAGATGGGCTTGTGGTTTAGGGGTATGACGCTCCATTCGCATTGGAGAGGTCCCGGGTTCGATTCCCGGCGAGTCCACTTTTTGTTCTCGAGTTTTTTAATGAGCATTGAGCTTCCACCACTTAGATAACTGTGTAAATAAAAGCACTACTTAACAATAAGTCCTCGATGGTCTAACGGTCATGATTTCCGCTTGTCAATCCTAACCGGGAACAAGCGCGGGAGACCTGGGTTCGACTCCCAGTCGGGGAGGTCTTTTTTGTTACTGCATTTCTTTTCTCTCCTTCTGCTACCTACAAGTCTTGCTCTCAACGAGCTCCTCCATTGCGAATACACTATCCCAACTATTCGCAAATTTTACCGCCCAGGAAGAATATTGTCACAAATAACTTTTATTGTTCCTTCTATTTGTGTGATCTGTGCATTACCGAACGAACCCCTTTAATATGAGACAAATAGCGTCCAACTCTTTTCGCTACTGTCACAGTCCAAAGAGGATCGATATTATCTAATAGAAAACTTACTGGATCAGGTTGTCGGTCATACCTGAATCTCGATTTATTTATGAGATCAACGTTCAACCTCCAGTAACAGAAATATGTCAGATGACAAAGGTGCTTCCTGTATAGCACACCGTGGGTGGCCGACCGAGCGGGAACTTTATATGTACTAATGCCACCTTGAAGTTGACTCGCCCGTTGAGCATCATTTCATACAATCACATACTCTGGCGTCAAACAGACCCAAGCAGCGAATGCTTTGCAGCTCTTTGTAGCCCTAGAACGCCTACTGTGCTGTGGTTGTCTGGAATAGACATTAACCAGCATGGTATCAAATTTCAATAAAGTCAATAACAATGAACACTTGAGGTTCGGAGCCACCGATTGATCGAGCAGGATTTAATACTTTTGCCGTGATTGTGTGATGATAGTTGTCAAGGACCAGTAAATTGAAAATGTGGGCTTGGTGTTGTGCAGCGATTTGAATGCGCCCGTTGACTCCTACAGACTATGCTTATTCTATACAACAACTACAGTACAGGTTTCCATGAATCTGAAACTTCAATAGAATTGCCAGTGTCAATCTGAATAGCGCACTTATGAGAAATACGAAAGGGGAGAGAGGGGAGAGAGAGTGTGTGTACAAGAAGGCCCGAAATAGATGAAATCCCCGAGACTTGAGACAGAGGAAATGCAAGTCACAAACTTTTTCTTTCAAAAGCAAAAACACAGCAGAGATGTGGGAATAATGGAATAATGGAATTAACAAATAACAACAACAGCTTCAAAAGATAAAAGAGACACGTAGCGAATGAAAGTTGCCATGTCAGTTGACCTCGCTCCGAAAATGTTCACTTCCAAGAACTTTCCTCGTGCCACACCATGCAGCAAAGCGATCACAGAGGGTCTTCGCGATCAGGCCCTACTCTGTCAACGGAAACGATCGATTTCCACCTTCCCAAAATCGTGGCCATGGGAGGAAGTTGCCCTGACGTGGATCTTACTTCTTTCAGGAGTAAGGCGGAGCTTCACATCAATGTTGTCTCCACTTCTTGTACCTCCTGAACTTAATGCGGCGACGAAGTTGCAGAATACATGGCCAATGTTCCGGACATCTGGTTTTCGATCAGGGTTTATTTCACACGGGTCACAAAGAATGGGTCACAAAGATGAGAAAATGAAAGTTCTTCGAACCGTATATCGCATTGTTTTGTCCGCCCACAGGCCTCGGTACTGCATCGTAGATGTTGATAACTGCGAAAGGAAAATCTTGAAAGACCCGGCAGGTAAATGTGGCGGTTCGCAATTCGCCAATTGAGCACCGGTCCCCCTTGAGGAGAGAAACGTCACTATCAGAGCATGTTTGCATAGCTTGCTACTTTCATTGAACTCACCACTTTAAAGACCCAAGACACGGGATGCCCCTGAGGCGCTCGAGGTTCTTGGTTATCGAGGTCCATGGCACCAACTAGAGGGCCAGAGGACTCAACACCGTAATGACGGTCGAGCTGTTCAACCGAAAGAAGGTTCCTGTACGCCCAGCGAGCAGCGCCTTCAGCTACAGCAGTCTCTCTAACTCATGGATCACTGTTAGACAATGTCAGGTAAGAAGGTACGGGCAGACTTACGGCGTTTGGTGTCGGTGGACCGTTATCTGCGAGTTCGCGAAAAGCCTTTGAATGGCGTTATAAAGATAGACGGAGTGTGCCGCCGCGCCGGATACGTAAACGTGCTGTGTGTTTGTCAGTGCCTGAATCGATAAATGTGCGAAAATATGTCAGTGAGATAATCAGTACTCCATACCTTGATTACTGGGCGTCCAATCAAGTCATGTGCTCGATTAATCTGCGCTGTCAGAACATCGCAGATTGTCACTGTGAGAGGATACTGAAGATCGAGCATATCGACACTGTTACTATTCGATTAGATTTATTCCCCACAAAAAGCCGACAGAGGAAAGGTAGGCGGGGAAGGGGGAGGGGGGAAGCAGCAGACTTTGTGAACTCGAACTTTCGAAAACCTGTCGATATACGATATTGTATATCGCCAATTTCTTGACCGATGGTGCCTTCGAAGTCACGTTTGGCTGACTCAAAATCGCTCATTAAACGACCAGTTGGGGAAAAGACCGAGCGCCTCAACTTCTTTGACTTCAGATTTTCAGACGCGACAGCGTAAAATTCCCGGTCTGTCATGGTGCTACCCCCCGAAGGATCTACTCGACTTCAGGGTGTGTTCGTAAATGTGGCGATCCTGACGGGGGAGACCTACCTGTGTAGTTGCTTACAGTTCTGTAGTCCCCAATCTCTTTCTAATGGAGACGTAGGTGCCAATATCCTGTATGTGGTAAGCCAGACTTTCAAAGGGTGATAGAGAGCTGGATATATCCTTACAAGCGTTCCACCTCCACAGTCACAGACAACGACTCCATCTCCCGCCTAATACTAAAGTCAACATGCACAATAGCTACAAGATGTGGAAACAAAACAGCAGCGTAAGAGACACACCTGAATGGGAATCAACGGATCACATAACATTGTTGTCAGTGCTGCTTCTGGCTCAGAGAGGACGAGA